ATGTGAGCGTCTCCATTCGATTCACGTCCCTGCCGCAGCATTTCAAAAGACACTTAATTTCATACTTGTTTACGGCTCTCTCCAGAGATCTAAAGTTCAAAATCGCATGCATTTTTAATTCCAAATTAAGCCAGGGAAAAAGAAGAAGGAGAGGGAGGTGGAGGGGGAAAGAAATTCCCATGTTCACTACGCCACATTTTGACAAACATGACCTCCTCTCGCTGGGGTGGAGGGATTAAGTGGAACCAAAGTTGGCCCATCGCCGTACCAGGGTTTAAGGCTATTGGGGCGACAGATTAGAATATCTCTCCCCCTCTCGAGGAGATAAGAGCAACACAACCATTAAAAAAACGCTGCAAAACATAATGAACTGGTGATCTCCCACCACCATGTGTGAAGATTTATAAATCTTCAACACAGTAATGCAGATTTTCCCCTGCGTCTCCTAATGCCTTAGACATGATCTGGGTTATCAAAGGGTGGAAACATCTCCCTGCTCATTGTCTTTTCCCGGAGGAGCCGTAACTCTCACCCTGTTTTGTTGCCGTATTCCGTGTCTTCTTATCCCAGATAATTACAAATATGTCAGCACGCGTCTCCATATGACGCGTGCTGACGGCGGCACGTTGCCACGGCGATACATCTCACCCCTCTCCGCTCTCAATTAGCTCCCGGAGCTGCAGGTTAATGGAACTTTTGATTGGGGGAAACTTGGTTTTCCTGGACGCCCCGGCTTCCTTTAGAAGGGGGGGGGGGGTCGACCCCGGCCTTATCTGCTGCTGCAGAAAGACGAGTTACTCTTTTCCAACCCAAGTGCATCAAAACCACGCTTTTTATTTGGCTTCCTCAACGATTGACTTTGAAGTTTGTGTAAGGGAAGCAGGCTGGAGATACACAGTCAAAACTGGTATGCTAACATATTTGAGCTTATGCGATACATTTGAAAAAACAGGGCATAAAAGACAGATACAGTACTTTTAAATGTATCAGTTTGGAACTACTTGTGCCTTTACAGCAGTCAAAGATGTTAAACAAATGTCTGCTAAAGAGACCGAAGTATAAGTACACACTGTTTCAGTTACAGTGGGGCAAAAAAGTATTTAGTCAGCCACCAATTGTGCAAGTTCTCCCACTTAAAAAGATGAGAGAGGCCTGTAATTTTCATCCTAGGTACACTTCAACTATGAGAGACAGAATGAGAAAATCACATTTGGTCAATAACAAAAGTTCATCTCAATACTTTGTTATATACCCTTTGTTGGCAATGACAGAGGTCAAACGTTTTCTGTAAGTCTTCACAAGGTTTTCACACACTGTACTGTTGCTGGTATTTTGGCCCATTCCTCCATGCAGATCTCCTCTAGAGCAGTGATGTTTTGGGGCTGTCGCTGGGCAACACGGACTTTCAAATCCCTCCAAAGATTTTCTATGGGGTTGAGATCTGGAGACTGGCTAGGCCACTCCAGGACCTTGAAATGCTTCTTACGAAGCCACTCCTTCGTTGCCCGGGCGGTGTGTTTGGGATCATTGTCATGCTGAAAGACCCAGCCACGTTTCATCTTCAATGCCCTTGCTGATGGAAGGAGGTTGTCACTCAAACTCTCACGATACATGGGCCCATTCATTCTTTCCTTTACACGGATCAGTCGTCCTGGTCCCTTTGCAGAAAAACAGCCCCAAAGCATGATGTTTCCACCCCCATGTTTCACAGTAGGTGTTCTTTGGATGCAACTCCGCATTCTTTCTCCTCCAAACACGTCTAGTTGAGTTTTTACCAAAAAGTTCTATTTTGGTTTCATCTGACCATATGACATTCTCCCAATCCTCTTCTGGATCATCTAAATGCTCTCTAGCAAACTTCAGACGGGCCTGGACATGTACTGGCTTAAGCAGGGGGACACGTCTGGCACTGCAGGATTTGAGTCCCTGGCGGCGTAGTGTATTACTGATGGTAGCCTTTGTTACTTTGGTCTCAGCTCTCTGCAGGTCATTGACTAGGTCCCCCCGTGTGGTTCTGGGATTTTTGCTCACCGTTCTTGTGATCATTTTGACCCCACGGGGTGAGATCTTGCGTGGAGCCCCAGATCGAGGGAGATTATCAGTGGTCTTGTATGTCTTCCATTTTCTAATAATTGCTCCCACACTTGATTTCTTCACACCAAGCTGCTTACCTATTGCAGATTCAGTCTTCCCAGCCTGGTGCAGGTCTACAATTTTGTTTCTGGTGTCCTTTGACAGCTCTTTGGTCTTGGCCATAGTGGAGTTTGGAGTGTGACTGTTTGAGGTTGTGGACAGGTGTCTTTTATACTGATAAGGAGTTCAAACAGGTGCCATTAATACAGTTAACAAGTGGAGGACAGAGGAGGCTCTTAAAGAAGAAGTTACAGGTCTGTGAGAGCCAGAAATCTTGTTTGTTTGTAGGTGACCAAATACTTATTTTACCAATTCATTCATTAAAAATCCTACAATGTGATTTCCTGGATTCTTTCCCCCCATTCTGTCTCTCATAGTTGAAGTGTACCTAGGATGACAATTACAGGCCTCTCTCATCTTTTTACGTGGGAGAACTTGCACAATTGGTGGCTGACTAAATACTTTTTTGCCCCACTGTATATGTATTTTAAATGCACTACCTTCTGGTGAGGCAGTGGTGCTGGAATCAAAGAAGAAGTTGAGGTTTTTGTGTTTGTATCGCTCTAAAAGTTTGGATTGACTCCACATTATTCAGCCTATGACCTCAGCTGTTTTGTGAACCGGTGATAGTGCTCTAAAAGTTTGCCACCAGTTATTTGTTCTTGGATTGAATTTGAGAGAAGTGATCGTATACTGTACATGATCCGCATGGTAATCAGCTCAGGTTCAATCTGCAACCCTGCCTGCTGGCTGGAGGTACACATCTAGCTGAGAATAGAAGACATGTTAACACACGTATATCATTTATGTCAAAGTGAGTATATGTTACCAGCAGACAACATCTCATATAAGATCATATGAGATGAGATAAGATATGATATACTTGTATTCCGGATAGGACATAAGCATTATACTGTAAGTCTAAAAAATACAACAGTATAAATAAAAATAACAACAATTAGAATAAGTCAAACACAGAGAACTTGAATTTACACATATACAGATTTGGAAGAAGAGTAATATGATTAAAACCAGGTCAGATAAGAGGTGAGGACATCGATATTAAATAGGCCATTGTCAAAGAGATGTGACACTGTTAAAAAAGTCAAAGTCGTCCACCTTAAGGTGTAGTAGTCACAGTTTTTACAGTTGAATACCTTTAAACAAGCGTGAGTCCATGAAATAAAAAGCATGCGTTATGATTTACTCAATGACCTGCTTTCATGACTTATTATACGTGTATTTGTTTAAGATTCTGTGTGGCTGATTGTCCCTAAACACACATTTTGGAGGGTACATTGTGGATTACAGTGTTCCCAGCTCCACTGAATGCATCATCGAGGAGGGAGAGGAGACATCTTCGGCCTCACACTGTCTCCACCTCGCCTGGGCAGGAGGTCATGGAGATTACCGGACTCACACACACACACACTCAGCCTCGCGCTCAGCATCCCTCTGTACAAACCTCCTCCGGCCAAACACAACCCGCTATCAGAGGATGACACCAAACACCCGCCCGCCGGCATCTTCCTCCTCCTCCTCCTCCTCCTCCTCCTCCTCCTCCTCCTCCTCCTCCTCCTCCTCCTCCTCCTCCTCCTCCTCCTCCTCCTCCTCCCTTTCTTCCTCCTTCCTCCGAACGCATCAGTGAGTTTCACTTTAGCTTGTTTGCGGTCATGTTGCAGGCAAGGTGACAAGAGCGATACAAGAGAAAACATTTCCCATAATTTCCAAAAGAAAGAGCTTACGGTGGAATTGTTCTCCATGGGGGGAAATCTGCCACCTCTCCTTCTTCTCCCCCTCCTTCCCCTCAGTTTACCTAACTCTCCAAAAAGGGGGGAGATGTATCCACACACACACACACACACACACACACACACACACACACACACACACACACACACACACACACACACACAACCCTCCTGAGGAATGGCTGGCGAGCAGAAGAAGAAATGCGGCCTGACAATCTCCCCTTTCCCTGCGGCGGCTGGATGCCAGAAACGAGCGCCGATTGTTCGGAGAGATCTTTTACCGAAGATGCCAGGGATTGGGAAAGAAAAGACTGCAGGACACCGCTGTGTCACCTAGCATCAAACAGCCCTAAACTCTCCGTCATGAGATACTCTGCGCAAAACAGGCCAGAGAGAGGAGGAGAGAGGTCTTCATCTCTTATCTGCCTTTCCTCTCGCTCTGTCTTCTTCTTCCCTCCAAGCCCTGATGCCCCGGGACTCTCACACACACACACACACACACACACACACACACACACACACACAGTCATGCAAATCACAAACAGTTTGACTAAAGAAATAAACAAGTATTAGGAGGAATACATGGAAAGAATCTTGCCCTAATGTGCATTCCCAAAGATATTGAAGTGACTGTTATTTTGTATATATTGACTGTTGTGTTTGTATCTTAATGTGTGCATATGTAGAAATGTGATTGTGTATATAATATATAGGATATACATATTTTATACATGTTTTTATATATATATTTGTATTTTTGTATTCGGGATTGTTGGAAACAGTATTTCGATCTCTCTGTCTGTACACACAAACGGAAAGATTGACAATAAAGTTGACTTTGATAAGAATCTGAATTATTGTATTAGTATTTATCTTACTCTTAGTATAAAGCTAATGTGTTCTATATAGAGGGAAAAAAGCACACATTAGTCATAGAATACGAATTAAGCCAAATAAGTACACAACCTAAATATGGATAGCAGATGTTCAGATTTAAAGAATCCTGAACTGATTTCAATCCTTCTTGTTCTGAAAAATGTAGATGATACATTTTAAAATGCAGGATAATGATATTAAACAGCTTGTGTCTGATGTCAACGTTTGTTCTCTTCACAGGTGTCAGAGGGTGAGGGGAATGTTATGGAAGATGCACATCCAAAAGTGACCAGCGTTCAGACACAAGGTGGGTAAAAAGAGAAGGAATAGATTCTCAATAAACAACTAGAAGACACCAGGAGATAGTAAAAGATATCAGTTTACTATTCCACCCGAATGTTTTTTTCAAACTATTAATCTAAAATCAAAAGAGAATAGTGTTTTGTCAAATGTCAGAGTCTGGAGCCATCAACTTATTTAGCAGTAGTTTGAAAACTGACTTGATGGAACAACTGTCTGATAATGCAGCGCTTTCTGTTCTTAAAAGAAATGTCTTATTTCAGAACCAGCTGAAAAAAAGTAGTTTTTTGCGACACTTAGTTATGGAATTATTAGAGGGTTTGAATGTGGATTCCTTTACTTGTTTAACTCCATAAACTAGGTGACAGTGTTTATGCGGCCAGAAGACATCAGAGAGATCAGTGTGTCCTCCCTGTTGTAATCTAGGCAGGACTCCCTAAACAAAATAACTTCATCTCCCTACCCGTGTTTGTTCTCTCAAGAAGTGTCTGGCCCTGCATTGTGAAAGAAAAGTTTCCTGTCGTGTTTGTCATATTTGAAGCAGCTCGGCCCGTTTTGAATAATTCAGCGGCTGCCCGGTCGGAAATAAAACATAGATAGTTATGAGGCACAAATATGAACATACAGCATCTAAAAGCATTAAGGAAACAGAGCTCCGGAGCGACAGATGAGGACAGTGTGTTTCACTGGCTGGACGGAGTCTTACCTCCCCCCCCCACACACACACATCACCCCCCTAATGATGTGTGGCCTGTCAGAGACACGCAGCCAAATGACATGCAGGACTACAAAAGCCTTCGTCCGAGTTTCTCTGTCTGCGCAACTCCCTGCAAAACAATAACTGGGATTCAGCAGCTGCAAATTGCACTAACATTTCCCCATTCTCTCTCTGTGAATTATTAATGAGAGCCAAACCAAAAAAAAGACACAGAAAAAGTGGAGAGGGTGGGGTGGGGGGAGAAATATCCACAGCATGCCCGAGCAGTGGAGAATGCTATGAAGCCGTAATTATGCCAGAGAATGAGAAATGGAACAAAGTTGTTGGAGCCAGAAACTGAGACTAAGAGCTGGAAATGTCGAGCTCAGAGGCTGAAGAGAAGACGTTTCATTATGCAAAAAGCCAAAGGATCTGCAGGATCGACACAATTAAAACCGCGAGGTACAACACATTAGCATCCGTGTCTGTCAGGTTTGCTTTGAGAGTGAGGGAAGAAGGAGAGGTCAGAACGCCCCACAATCTACAGCTTCTCACTCCAAATGTGTTCACTTTTTCAGCCAGACTTAAATCAATTGTTGCACCAAATGTAAATGAAACAACTTACTGCCTATCTTGAGAGCAATTTACATGTTTTTATAATATGTGTGTATCTGATTGTCTCCTATAAAGAATAAGATAAAGGTATTATCTCACACACTTAATGACAAATAATTAATACAATTGAAATTAGTATGAATACAGCAACAAGTTGTTTTCACAGAAGACAGAGATAAGAAAATAACGTAATAATACAATGTGAGATTAATCCCAAAAAAAAGAACCAAAAGTAAAAACATCTTGCGTCTCTTAGAGATACAGAGGAACATAATAGCGTAGATAAATAAATACAAATGTTTACTGAGGCGGATAATGGTTTTTATTAAATATCAGATAAAGTATTAATATCACATTGTAAAAATACTAAAATGCAAGTAAAAGTGCCACATTCCAAAGAATATACTCGGAAGACATTTTAGATTATAGGGAAATGTTTTATATTGCACTTGAACTCAAATATTTTAATGTGTGTAGATGTACAGTAGGTAGTGTGCTGCATTTCAATGCTGATATGTTTTTATAGTAAGTTGGGCTTTAATATATTTTCTTTTACAATCTTTTATTAAGGACATTCAGCAGAGAATATGTGTTCGGAGCAAATGCATCATCAGATTACCATAAGAAACATAGTTTAAGTTTAAGTTGTGTGTAAAAATGACAAAATATTGTTGTCAAAAGGTTAGGGTTTTTCAGATGTAGAAAAGATTACATTGAGATACAAACACTCACACATACACACACACACAATGAGGAGGAGGCAAAGGAGTCCCTCAGGGATCGGGAACCGTGTGTGTGTGTGTGTGTGTGTGTGTGTGTGTGTGTGTGTGTGTGTGTGTGTGTGTGTGTGTGTGTGTGTGTGTGTGTGGTGTGTGTGTGTGTGTGTGTGTGTGTGTGTGTGTGTGTGTGTGTGTGTGTGTGTGTGTGTGTGTGTGTGTGTGTGTGTGTGTGTGTGTGTGACTCAGGGTTGAAGCAGTCCTGCTGTTAAGACGTCCTGCAGTGTTTCCTGGTGCTGCTCCGCCATCTAGTGGCTGCTGACAGGAAGTGACAACAGGAGGTAAAAGTCCATTTCAGAATAATATATATGATATGTTTTATAATGATTGATCATGAAAGTGTTCTCAAAGCTGGTGAAGGTGCAGCTAGTTTGAATGACTTTGTATACTGCAGGGTAGCTGGTGGATTTACTCCAGGTGGAACTAAAGTCTGATTTAACACTTGATTATATTTCACATCATTCATCCACATCTGTGAAGTAACTAAAGGTATTAAATGATGTGTAGTGGAGGAAAAGTACACCATGTACCTCTGAACTGCAGTGGAGTAGCATAACATGGATACTCTTTTAAAGTACAAGTATCTAAAATTGTACTTAAGTACAGTATTTGAGTAAATGTACTTCCCAGCTCTGGAATCAGGTGTAGTTTTGTACACACACATGTACGGTGACTACATAAAAGCAGAGGAATTAAGTTCAGTTAAGTAAGACAGGACCAAATATGGAACATGTGTAAAAAGTAGTAGAAACATTGTGATTTAAAGGATATAAAACGTTGTCTTAAAAATGCACAAAACTTGAATTTAAAGTAAAAAAAGCTTAACTTAAGTATTAACATCAGTATATATATACTGATGGATTGAGATTATTAGGTAATGCAAAATGTAAATCAATGATCCAAAAGGCATTGTATGGTGATTTATTTTTAAAGAATTCATAATTTAGTATGTTGAAACAACATAGGTGGGAAAATGAAAGTATGGTGTGTACAAAATAATTGAAATGTCCTAGTTTGTCCCAGAAAACAAGTGATAGTATACGTGTACTATCGTATCGTGTATGTCAATAAAGAAAACAAATATTGTTGCTTAAAGGTGAATATCCAGTTTCCTGGTGCTGCTCCGCCCTCTAGTGGCTGCTGACAGGAAGTGACATCACGAGGTTTGGAGTGAACAAATCAAACCCTTTTAATGTGCGTGGTATCAAAACGATCCATAAATATATACAGTCAGAATCAGGTTTATTGACAAGTAGTTTTACACATACAAGGAATTCTCTTTGGTGTATTACGGTGCCTACACAAAAGCAGGAAGAGGAATTCAGTTAAGTAAGTAAGTCAAACATGGAACAATTGTAAAAAGTACTTGAAAAAGTATAATTAATATAAAGGACATCAGGATTTATTAAACTTTCTCTTAAAAAAAACAAGTTGTCAATATTATAATTAAAAGTAGAAAAGCTTTACAGTTAAAAAAGTTAAAGCATTGAACACACATTTGTGTATTATGTGTTTAAAGACATTTTCAATGGTGTAATTGTAGAATCCCCAGATTAAATATTATCTGTTAGTGTTCATACTATTTACTTGAATCTTTTTTCAGTTCTTAGTTCTTTGTTTATCTTGTGATTAGAGGAAATAACCAAAACATACTTGAGTCAATAAGTGTAGAAAATGCAACCTCTTCACTTTTTAAAGTGAGCATTTCTCTAATAGCATTTCTGCTCATGTAAACCTCTGTGTATGCATGCACCTGTGTGTAGTGTGTGTTTGCAGTGTGTGTGTTTTGAAGCTCCTGGCACTCCTGTCTCCTCCTCTCAGGGTTCAAGGTCGCTGTGCAGTTATTTCCAGCTCGTCTTCACTTTGATCCGTGTCTGGGAATGACAAGGTAACGCAACTCGGGGGGGGCAGCTGTGTTACAGGAATGCTGCCACGGATCGGGAGAGAGAAACTAGATCCTGCCTGACAGTGTCTCCAGGATACTCCACCAGACTGGACCCTGACACACACACACACACACACACACACACACACACACACACATAGATAAACACTTAAACTCACAGAAACAAACACTTGTAGTACACACAAACAACCAGATATAGCTGCAGCTGTGACACATGACCTCTGTCAGCATCTGTTTGTCTGTCTCCCTGTCAAGGTGCATCAACGAGACGAGGTGTCCGCCAGGAAAAAAACGGCATCAACAAGGATCTGCTCCTGAAATGTGGAAGATGGATGGAGCGGCAGCTTTAAGGGCACATAATGGGTGTGAGGACATTTATACATCCCCTTTTTATTAAGACTTCCACATAAGATGCACCTGTGTTCCCTCGCTCCTCCAAAACACTCCTCTCTCCTCAAGGTGCATTCAGGGACCGAGGAACGTCCTTTAAAGTGGAGGGTGAACCTTTTCAGCGACCTAGTTTTAGGCCAAAGTCCAGACACTTTCTTTCCACCTAAATATTAGAATTAGAACTGCAGCGATTCAATATTTAATAGCCCAAAGAAACCTGGCAGAAAGTAACCACGGATTCAAAAATACTTGAAGTAAAATAAATCAAGCAAAAGAAGCTTAAGTTGATGTTATGAAAAGCACACTTTGCCCATTAACCCTGATAGTGGTAAGTTCATCCTGTGAGTTTTCTAGTAACTCTTACTGTCACTGTTTACCGTATATGTCTCTGCTTCTTGACAATAAGACTAGTTCAGTATAATCATTTCTTTAGTGCTCAACGAGTATCGAGGCCTGTTTCATGTCTGTATTGATCATTAGGACTTGTCAGAATATCTGGATTACTTCCCCAAGATATATCATATTAGCACATGATTGCATTATTTATATATACATACATTGTTCATTTCATATTTCACTTTATTCTTTAGCAGAACATGTACCAGCTTTTGTAGTATTTTAGTCAACTGTATACTTTGTATTTATAGTGTTCTGAAAAAAAATCAGCAATTCTGTTTTGTAATGTCATGTCAGTGACACACAATCAATGCAGCATTGTGTTTCTGCTTTAAACAAGTGAGGATCTCCCCCTTTTGGGGATTTTAGTCCAACTGTATTTGCAGTTTTTTGAATGGCTTCCGATACTTTTCAATACAACAGAAAAGTAGGACTGTTGACATTTAGAAACACAATACTATGGCGTTGAACCCCCTCCCAGGTCATTGAGCATGCCCTGCTAGCTAATTACAACAGGGCCTGTGGTTGTCTGCACCCCTGCCTCCCCCTGTCTGTGGGGGACGGAGGGAGGGTCACGCAGGGGTGGCGAGGGGGACATATGTCTGACGAATGTGCCATCTCCATAATTAGCAACATTAAACACGCCAGGCGCTGACGACAATCAAAACATTTCACTTGTTGTCAATTATTCATCACTTTGAAGGTTCTGAAGGGGTCGTTAATATGGAAATAAGCCTGCGATGCTAACAAGGTTGCAGTATCTGATTCCAAATCATTTGGGCACAGATCACCCCCACTTTTTCTTTTAGGCTAGTATTTAGCGTTTTCTTGCCTTTTCTGTCCCTTTTATTGTGTGTTTTCGAGTCTGAGACATAATTGAAGAACATCAATCAATCAATCAATCAATGTTTATTTATATAGCCCAATATCACAAATGTTACATTTGTCTCAGTGGACTTTACAGTGTGTACAGAATATCAGTATGACACTACGACACCCTCTGTCCTTAGACCCTCACATCGTACAAGGAAAAACTTCCGAAGAAAACCCACAGTTTAAAGGGAGCATGGGAGAAACCTCAGGGAGAGCAACAGAGGAGGGATCCCTCTCCTAGGACGGACAGACGTGCAATAGATGCCGTGTGTAAATTGAAAAGATAATACATTTGCAACATAGGTAGTCCAAATGTTTGGAAATGCATGTGTGTATAATAGGAAGATTATATCCATCCAGGACCTATGATCCAGGACCACAGCCACGACTCAAGATCCAGGACAGAGGAGCGCAGGATCATCCATGACTCCGGATCCCGGCGTATATAGACACCAAAAAGAAAGACATTTGGGGAAGCTGGGTTAATCGGAACATGAGAGTACACTGGTATAGACAGAGAGAAGGAAGAAGTAAGATGTCCCCCGACAAACTAAGCCTATATCAGCAAAACTAGGGGCTGAATCTAATCAGCCCTAACTATAAGCTTTATCAAAAAGGAAGGTCTTAAGCGCACTCTTAAAAACGGATAGGGTGTCTGCCGCCCGAACACAAACTGGAAGCTGATTCCACAAATGTGGAGCTTGATAAGAAAAGGCTCTGGCTCCCATTGTACTTTTAGAGACTCTAGGAACAACCAACAACCCTGCATTCTTGGAATGCAATGCCCTAGTAGGACAGTAGGGTATAATGAGTTCTTTAAGGTAAGATGGCGCCTGCCCATTAAGGGCTTTGTAGGCGAGAAGAAGAATTTTAAATTCTATCCTGTGTTCTATAGGGAGCCAGTGTAAGGCAGCCAGAACAGGAGTAATGTGGTCCCTTTTCCTAACTCTGGTTAGTACACGAGCTGCAGCATTTTGAATCAGCTGAAGCGACTTGACTGACTTCTTGGTACACCCTGATAATAAAGAGTTACAATAATCCAGCCTTGAAGTAACAAATGCATGGACTAGTTTCTCTGCATCGTTTTGAGGCAAGATATGCCTGATTTTTGCAATGTTACGTAGATGGAAGTAGGCGGTCCTTGAAATTGATTTTATGTGGGCGTTAAAGGATAAATCCTGATCAAATATAACACCAAGATTCCTTACAGTCTCACTGGAGGCCAAATTAATGCCATCCATAGATAATTTGTTTCGTAGATTCTTCGGGCCAAGTACAATAACTTCAGTTTTGGTCGTGTTTAACATCAAAAAGTTTAAGGTCATCCACGTTTTTAAGTCCTTAAGGCAGTCTTGAATAACATGAATAAGACATTCATGAATAAGACATTCATGTTCTTCAATTATGTCTCAGACTCTAAAACAAGATTCTTTTTTTAAACATCTAAATCTATTGCAGTGCTTGTTTTGTATAACTTTTTTTTACTTTATTGCACCTGGTTGTTGTTGTTTTCGGATAATTTAGACATACTATGATTTGCACGTTGTCTTGGAGTCTCTTGGTTATCATCAACGAATGGCTATCAGAATGGATTTGCACGTTGTCTTGGAGTCTCTTGGTTATCATCAACGAATGGCTATCAGAATGGATTTGCACGTTGTCTTGGAGTCTCTTGGTTATCATCAACGAATGGCTATCAGTCCAACATCAATGAGTTTCTGAATCTTCTGAGCAATCACTGGATTCTTTAATAGATAGATTCTATTATAACATGACAATGTTTACCTGTAATGTATGTTCCATACTGTAGTATATGTACTAGGTGTTTTTTTAACATATTTTCGACATACTATGAGTATGTATGTATGTGAGTATGTCATAGTATACTATGAGTTTTCTGAAATACTGTGTACTGTAAGACTTTATGTGACATACTTACTATATGTCATCCTTCTTCTCTTTTCTTTAAGTATTAGCTTACCAACTCAAATGAGTTAGGTACATTATCAAAATGGTATATCTACTATGGCCTGTGACTGTTTTTCTTGATCTTTTTTTCAATTTTTACAGTTGTTTTCTGTCACCAAATGTACCAAACAACATTCAAAATGTACAACAAAATAAAGAGCATTGAAATATGTTCAGTTCTTAAGTTAGCCATTCGGTCGAGTTTTGTAGTCAGTGCAGGTTTTGAACACTAAGATATTTTACAGCATGTTTGAATACCAGAGTAAAATAAATAAGTTTATATATTTGTATCCACAGCTAAAGTCAAAAACGATAATTGTTGTGCATTTTGAAACACACAGTAGGGCTACAATTAAAAAGTTCAATAACTACTGTATTTCAGTCAATATGTATTTTGTACTTCCACAGTGTATTTTCAAATGATGTCCCTTTATGCCTTTACACACTATATTTTGGAGGTAAATGTTGTACTCCACACCATTTATTTTTACAACTTTAGTTGGTTACTTAAAAAACCTAATTCATTAATTAATTGTGATATATTATTATAGGTTATGCTGCTCCGCATGTTAAGGCAGGGTGGGGTTTATAAGGCAATCTAAATAAACCCCACCTTTATCAGCCGCAACATTAAAGTGACACTAACAAAGCATCCAACAAGGTCAAGATGTTCACTTTTTACTGTGCTAATACCTGAAAACTGTCCTTTCTTTTTCAGATTGTCATGCTAAATTGAGATGGGTAGATTTTCTTATTTTTTGTGGGTTGCTTAAAGCTTCCATACATTTATTTAATAGCAGCATTTCAACATCTTGTGGCCTCATACTTGAACTAAATTACATTCCAATGGTTTCTTTTTAATTAATGTTAGTTGCACTCGAATTGACCTGAAAAGTCATATTTGTAATACTGATGGAATATGTTAGTATAATAATACATATTTGAATGTCTGTGTTTCATCATTAAACCTGCCTGGGTGAATGCATAAAATGACTTTGTGTGGCATTTTATTTATTTATTTCAATGAATTAAAAAATATATATTGAGCCAAAACATCTTTATGTATCTGAAGTTACCTACTGTAACTCCAGTTTCTATGAGTATAGGTGTAGGTAGGTGCACCCCGCGCAGCACTGAAACACTTGTAGTCCACGCCCACCTGCGAGGTGGGCCCCACCCTCGGGCTCCCTTCCGGTATAAATAGGAAGGAGGCCCGGCAATCTGCTCCCACACAAACAGCTTTTCTTCAGCTATTCGTGGGGCCCAGAACTTAGAGGGCTTCGCCTTCAGGCTTATCAATTAATGTAATGAACCTTGACATGCACTTGTCAAGGTTCAGAGGCAAATTTTGCAAATATGGCAGTAGCTTAGATAAGATATACTTTATTGATCCCAAGTTGGAACATTTGCGTTACAGTAACAGTTGTAAATATGCAGTGGTATTTATTTGTAAATCATTTAGTATAATCACACAAATTCTGTGTTTTATATTTAACAATTCTGTGTTCTTTATTTATTGATTGTTCAATACCTGACAAGGCCGGAGATGAAATATCTACATACATCTTATAAGAGTATAATACATTATGTATAATATCAGTTAAAATAAGTGCTTCAACATAGTTAACATTGCTGGAGGTATGCACAAATATTGATAGATGTCTTGTAATGCACTATTGAAGAACCTGCGACCCAAGTTTTTCATTCAATGCATAACTACACCATAGTTGTGTAGGCCTATATGATATGTCAATAAACCTTAGAAAATCTTGAAAGGGATGTGCAAAATAGTCATTATATACAGTCTTTAATTAACTATTAGTAGAGAATAATGAATATACTTTATAGGGATCCTATTAATATCTAATAATAAAAATAATGAAATTCAATAACATGTTTTAACCACTAGGTGTCCCTTTATATCAGCTGTGCACCTTTATGGTGTAAATACAGCCTATTGGATCAAATATAAAAGTAAGCCGAATTAGTGTTGATACTGCAAGGAGACATATTGTGTGAAAAGAAATGTAAGATGTTGTTTAATTGCTGATATATTTATGATCCACGTCACGTTTTCAGTTCCTCATGTTTGTCTAGAAGTCTTCTCATCAGGGCTCTATAAATACAGAACTACGGCAGATATGTAATATTTAATGCAGCTGAACCGTGTATTACAATGCCGTTATGTGATGACTTTCAAAGAGAAAAGCAAGCACACTCGGAATAAAGTATTTTTTAAAAAATGTTTTCGGTCTGTTTCCGGTATTTGTTAATGACGATGTGCTGTGAGATGTGAGACTGGAATTGCACAGGGGAAAATAACGTATCTTAAGATGCGGATTTTGTTAAACTAATTTGCGCTGTGGACCAACACTATACATTGACGGGGTAGCAATAAAGATAACACAATTAAACTGTTACACAACATAACAGAAATAATATCGATAGCAGCGTCCCTAGCAACCACCTTGATAACAATGAAAACGTTCTATGGACGCAATTTCCTGAAGTAATCTTCGTAATAACTAGCAAACTAAAGATCATGTACATCCACTGCACACATAATCTGAAATAACAACTCATATTTCTCGCATCAAATGACATCAAAACGCATTTGAATGGCTAATCTAACTTTAAAATAGGCATTTTCCACCGAGAATAAAACGAAGTTCGGCCATGTTTTTTTTTTCTGCAGGGAGAAATTTGAAGATCACGTGACATAGACGCCAGCCATTGGAATGAATGATGAAAAAAAACGGGGTTTGTCAAACAGAGCACATGGTGTAGTCCTAAACGATAGCTGGGGATTCTGGGTAGTGCCATCCTTTACTCCGAAAACATAAACATATTTGTTTCTCCAAATCGAAGGGGAAAAATACAAAAGCATTGCACACAATTTAAACCAATCAATGTTGTGTAATTAACAAGGATAATCTGGTGTTTTTTAGTCGATGAGTAGTGCAGATATCACTGTAAAATCAATCGACAGTAAGGGGAATACTTACTTCCGGGTGTAGAATTATCCGTTATCCAATGAGAATGGACTTTAAGGGCAGCCGACACAAACAAATGCCGTGCTTCCATGAGCATCAAATCCCGCCGCAGATGGGAATACATTGCA